TCCGAGCATTTTGGCTAATTCTATTTTATGGGTTAGTCTAAAAGTTTCTGAGAATTGACTTACAGATAAACAAAGCCCTGCGGAGCTGTTCCTCTATTGTAATTTCTCAATTTGTCTGGGTGTAATTCTGTGTAGGATCGTTTAATTTGGATTTTAACTTGAATTAAATCTTCTACTTGGTGAAGTTTCAAAGATTCTACTCAGTTAATGGGTTTAAATTGTGTCTGAAGTGTCCCTTGAGTTTGTTTTATTTTTGTCTTATTTTATTGCTTGTTTTAACAGTAGCAAAATAACTGTTTTGTGTTTACACTTTGAAATCTGGAGTGTTAACCAGCTCTCCTGTTGAAATATTTACTTAATATTCCTCTCCCTATTTGCTGCCTTTTACTACAGTGGCAATCTTAACTGTATATCACTTTTTCGTGCTGGAGTGACAACCAGAAATGCTTGAGAAAATAATACTGTTAGAACCAGGCAGAAACAGATGACTCCGGAGTGGAATCGGAGACTTAGCGTGGAGGGACCTTGGCCTCAGCGACTCAAGCGGAGCGCTGTGCCATTGCTGTTTGTCCATTTGGTCCTTAATTTCACAGTAGGTGAGCAGGAAGTCTCTAGGGGGCATTTCAGGTCGATTTCGGACTGAACCAAAACGAGTATGTACAAGCGCCGATATATATAATGGAGGGGGCAAAAGCACAAGGAAAACAAAGGGTACCGAATCGGAACGAAGACGTCCGAACGGGAACAAAGGGTAGAAGAAGCGGAGCGGTACCGAAGGTCATAAGGCAGGACCTGTGATACGTCCGAAAGGAGGTAGGGAGGGCGAGGCCCAGAGGGGCAGGAGGATGAGGAGAAGTGGGGATGATGACTAACTGGCTAGAATGGGAAGAAGCAGTAGTCCAAATAGGGATGGGGGGTAAAGGCGAGAGATACATTACAAGCGGCGAAAGTGCCGAAGGCGATCCGCGAAGCTCGGGGGTTGCGGAGCTTACGGAGGTTACGGAGGCGGGGTTGAAAGTCCGAGGGATATTGGCAATGGTGTTTACGTAGTATGAGGTCACCAATGCAATGGACTAAGACCGAGGTGGAGTCAAAGTCCGAGGTAGGGACTATGACGGAGGCTCGGAGCAAAGGTACGAGCGGTGTCCGAGTACGAAGTACGGGACAGCGGTGGAAGGTCGTAACTTGGCGGGAGGGTGGCGGAAGAGTACCAGAGGGAGGAGAGAGGGGAAAGGTAAGGGAGGAGGAGTGGCGGAGAGGAGAGTTGTCAGGTCCGAAGGTGAGTATCGGAGCGGACAGTGGAAGCATAGGAGGGTGACGGGAGGGTGGAGGTGTTGTGAAGGAGGAGCGGAGTAGGAGGAGGAGGAGGAGGAGTAGGAGGGTGGCGAGAGGGGTGGCGTTCGGTCCGAGGTGAGTATCGGAGTGGACGGAGATAGGGGAGGAGAAGTAGAGGTGGTGTGAGGGGTAGAAGGAGGTGTGTTTGCCAGGACCGAAGGTGAGTATCGGAACGGCAGCGGTAGGGTAGGACTCTGGAGGTGAAGAGGGTGGAGGTCCGGAAGTCGGGTCGGGGTCGGGTATGCACGGATATGACAAATACTCTATTTTCTTACTTCTCTGAGGGGGGGGAAAAGTTGCAGAAAGGGTCTCCCTTTTATACTCCTTGGGCTGCCTTCCTTTTTCATGCTCTACCTCATATTTACAGGATTTATTTACAGTGAATTTTCCTCAAACTGAATAAAAAATGAAATTTTCACACTATAGTTCTACTGCGCTCTGCTGTGCTGAACTGCAGCTCTACTGCAGTCAGACTGCGCCTAGAATCCTTATTGTCCTTCCTCGCATAAGCTATTTTAATGGTTAATTAGAACTTGACTGCGCTGCATTTGTCGCAGTTTTCTATTTCAAATTCCTCATATTTACCATTAAGTTCGCTATGACTCGGTCATTCTGAATTCAAACTTCGCATTACTATGCGTACGGCTGCGCTGAGACCTTCAGCTGATTTATTCTATTTTTGTCCAGTAACATTTAGTTGAAATGAGACTTGAAATGATAAATGAGTGAATTATTCAGGTTTAGAACTGAAAGAAAAAGTTGCTCGTAGTCAAGAATTGTTCAAATGAATGTATTATAGCTCTCTGCTTCATTGGTATATCGTTCCCTAAAATTCCCACCATGGTCCATCATAGTTTAGTGGTTTTCGTGGATTTCATCCATCTGCCCTGATTCCCCTTTGTATTATTACATCCTAGTCCTCCATATGTATTGTTCATTGTTATAGTAGGTCGTCCTCGAAGATATCATATTTTTATGTATTTTATTTGGGGCTCTGGTCCTCTAGAAGCTGTCTTCCCCCACGTTTTCAGGTTTCTAACTTCATGTCCTTGTATCTCATTCATTTCTGAATGGTTTTTCACGTTCTCAGTATCATAAATTTTTATTTATTCCCACCTTTCCAATGGCACTAAAGTTGTATTCTATTTCTTGATATTCGTCGAGTTAGCAAAAGTTTGCACACACATTCAGTAATCACATGCATCGTTCCCATAGTCATTCGTATGCGGGCGCCGTTTCTGTTTAATTGTGCAGGATTTATGGTTTGTTTGGGTGTTTGTATCCTTTATATGGGCTTCCATGATTTATTTCAGATTTTTCCCTCATGATCTAAGGTTGTTTTGTACTTTCCGTGCTTTGTTTTCACCGGGGTCTTCCTTATTTGGACAGAAATTGGTCTTCGCGATCTGCCGAAGTGCGGATCTCAGTTCTGATGGCCAGTTCCCTTCGCATCGCCACCCTCACGTGTCTTTAAACATGATGCGGATTTCTATATTCCCATTGTTGGTATAACTTCACAACAGCTGGACCGTTTGGGCTGAAAATTTGCATAACTATAGTTTCCCATTTATCATAATTTCCGTGTAAATTTAGTTGTGTGTTTTAAATATGGATCCTACGTAAACGTCGTCTTTTCCCTGAGCCCAGACTTTTGATGTCGCTCTTCCTGTTATTGGGTATCTCATTGATGCGTGATCCTTTTATTATGAAAATTTGGGTGGATTAAGATTAGATCCCTTTCTTTTTAATGGGTTATCAAGCTCATCTCAGTCATTACTGCTTGTTCTTCGTGCTTGGCTTTTAAACGTTGTCCTCGTTTCCCAAGAGTTTTGGCCACACCCCCGTCGTTTATGGGTAGTTTTCCCTGTAATTACTTTCATTGGGTCCGTTTGGAAGACATCTACATTTCCTATTATAAACACAACTTTGAATTTTGCATTAGTTCCTAAGGAATCCTTGTTCCGTGGTACTTCCATCCTCGGCTACGTGTGCAGGCGTGGGAAAGTAGTTTCCGTGGAGGTTCTCTGGTTGTTTTTATAGTCAAATCTTGGTCGATTGTCCTAATTCTTTGTTTAATATTTGCTATAAATTCCCCCGAGAATTCCGTCTTGTTGATGCTAAGCTTGAAGTATTTTTGCTAATTTTCTTTCTTCCAATTTATCGTATGTAGTTGTAAAAATTCGTTCAAATTCGTTAAAATTCAGGTTCTTCTATTTTCTCATATCTACTTGTCATATGGGGTTTTGTGATTTATCTGGCATATTTCCATAATGGGTCTCCATAGTGTGACCGTTATTTCTCCTACAGCGGGAACCGGAGGCTCCGAGGTTGGTGACGGAGGACCGGAGGTGGTTGAGGATGATGGCCGTGGATGGATATGACATCATCCTCCAACCAGCCCATTACACTCGCAATGCCCAAGATTGCCTTGAAGTATACAGTAGACGAATTTCACACTTGATTCCCCCCGCCCCCCGGAGAACGCCGAACGTGGCAGTGCAAGTCACAAGTGGCAAATATCTTGGTCACCGCGATGACTTCTTAACCGCCCATGCAGCCTCGCAGCCATCTATGCGAAGCCGATATGTAACAGGTTACGTTACCAGCCTCTATCGGGATAGACTTCGCCCCTACTTCTGAGGTAATTTTGCAGCCAAGATCGAGGTGCCCTAAAAGGTTTCGTCTGTGATGTCACCCTTCGCGCCTATCTCGTCAGGAGGCAGCACTGCAAATTAAGTGATCTTCTTAAGCGCTTTCTGCTGGCAACCAAGTACTCTCCAGCGGCTTGTGGCTGGGGGACTGATAAGGACAGATTTAATACTGCCTTGATATCCATGTATGTTCAACTGGCACGCACTTGCTCTAAGTGAACGGGGATACGCGCGGCCCTCTTAATCTGTGAGAGCGCGTGCAGCAGCGCGGCATGGTTTCATCATACCCTCTCGTTTAGGTCTCAGGCTGTTCAGTTCTAAGGCAAATGTGGATCCAATGTTCAATTTCCGGTAATGGGCGCGTGCGCGCGGCCTAATCTCATACCAGAAAAGCCCGGCCATTTTTCAAGCGGCGTGTACCCCCCCCCTTTTTTTTTGTTGGTGTGGTTTACTTCTTGTCGCCCTGCTTGAGGACTGTGCAATAGATCATCTAGGCCCTATCTAAGTGGACTCAGTAGCGATTAGACATTTCCCAAAATGTCAATAATTCGAAAAACTTGTTCTGTTCGATCCTCCTTTGGAGCTCTTGCGTTGAACTTGTTGATCCAGTGAAATCCCCTGTTGCACACCTCCTCTTGATTTCTCGGCAAGGCAGTTGAAATCTATCGATCTCTAATCAACAAGAGCCTTGTGAGATCGACGCCATCACCCATTTATGTAAATCCCTTCCAAAGACTGCTTCGGTGTTGTGCGAATGAGCTGAATTTGATTTTAGGCTTTAAATGGACCCTCGCAGAAGCTGCGTGGTTGACAGAAGGCTATGCACCCAGTGGCATATAAAGCTTCCAGGTGAATGTCGTTCCGTGTTGTACCCCCGTTCCAATGACAACCGCTCTCATCACGTTTATCCTCGCCAACAATGCCTACGCCGCGCCGATCCTCCCCTATCCACCCCTCAACGCCACCAGTTTGTCAATAAACATATCAGAAGCATGCAATGACCTTCGGAATTGCCGTACCATGTGGAATCTCGTTTACAGCTGTCTTCTAACAATATTCATCTGCGTATGGACGGCTGTACACCCGAATGTGGTAAAAAGAGATAGGGGTGGTATGCATCTGGTGGAGGAGATTGTGATTAGGGATGATCGTTTCGGCTTAATGACGAGTTCCCTGATTTTCCCAGAATTGGTTGTTGCTAAGGCATGGTATGAATTCTCAGAAGCCTGGAAAATATCAAGGAAATGTAAAAATGTCGAAGGTATGGAGTGAATCAATTGAGCCGAAGCTTGACCTATTGATTTTCACATGCTAGGGTGGACACTTGTGCATTCATACTTTGTCATTATGGGAGGTTTCATTGACCCAACGACACGTTTCTTTGGTCGGGATGATCCCTCCTTCTTTGGCCAATACCCTGGCATCATTCGGAAGATGGGAAATCGTCAGGTTGTCGCGGTAACGAAACAGGAACTTCTCCGCAAAAGCAAAGGCGATCTTTTATCCAAGTCTATTGTATCTCTTCAATTGCTGTGGTTCATCGTTCAATATGTGGGGCGATGGGTTGGACATCTGCACAGATCGCAGCTTGAGACGATAACGCTTGGATACTCCGCACTGAGCATTATCATCTGCGCGTTGTGGTGGCACAAGCCCCTTGATGTCCGTTCGCCAATTCAAGTGATGAAAGAGGACCCTGCTCACGTTCCGACTTCCGAGGCCGATGTTGCCCAAGTGCCTCTTGAAGTAGAGAATGAGGCAGATTCGCCTTCGCTTGCGGCCAGAGCCATTGGCGGAGCTTGTGACGCAATTGTTGAATTGGATTTCCGTTGGATACTTATAATCACCGGCGCCATCTTCGGTGGGGTTCACTGTTCGGCGTGGTCCTTCCCTTTTCCGACACACGCGGAATCACTTATATGGCGCATTTGTGCAGTATACATTACTATAGCTCCTACTCTTGGCATCGGTGCATTTGAAATATTGAGTAGCACAAAGTTTGACGATTTCGACGAATGGCCTGTTTGGGCCACTGGGACGATTTATGTCGTTTCCCGGATTATCCTCTTCGCACTGACGTTCGCATCCCTCCGCTCTCCTTCTCTTTCTCTATATCGAACGCCGTCTTGGTCTTCTTTTATTCCCCATCTCGGATAAGATGTATATATTCTTCGTCATCTCACCTGTTTTGTAATTGGAGGACAGGGTCAGGGGAAAAGGGCGGCAAACTAGATGGATTCAGCCATTAATCCGCCTGCAGGACACGGATGCTCTATAAGCACGCATACAGAAGGGGCTTAATGGGCGACTATGATATCATGCGGGCTCGTTCAATCCCGTCCGAGTGTCTAATAGCCAACTCGTCTGCAGCTGGAATTCGCAGACCTTTCCCACTCACGGACGTGATCATGGATTCGCTGGTCTCAGCCATTCGAAAACTCGATCCGAGGTCGCCTTGCACCCCCTCATGTTCAAAGATCCACTTTGCATATCATGTATAACAAATGATATTTCGTCGGGATACTGCTTCAGCAACCATTCTCAGCGGACGCTAATTGCGTACATTTCAATTTCCATGATTGACGCGTGGTTGGGCAGTGCAGGGTTGGTTGCGGTGATTATAAAATGGTAGACGTCTTTCTTGTTCTCACATCAGAAGTGTGCAACAACTGTGATAATCAACCGTCCAGTGGACTTTCATCGCATCAAATCCCTCGCGATACTTAGTCCTGCATCTGACTGAGCGTTCTCGTAAGCGTATAATGTTAATCCCACGATTCAACTAGAGAAGCCATCCTCCCGATTTTCGGATCAACTGTCCTCTAAACTGGAGAACGATGCAAATCCCGCTTTCCTCGGATCACGGAATCGAATTCCCTTGTAGGCAATTTAGCCACCGCCGTTATTAATCTTGGTGGAATCCATTGTTTTTAATTGAATGACCCTCCCGCTTCCAACGCACAGACCCCCTATTATTGCACTAATGTTTATTACGGTAGTCCCTGTTGTTATATCAGACGCCTCGGTTTTTTTGCAAGATTCCTTGAGCGCATGAGCAGGCCACTCTCTACATTTGTCGTTGCCCGGGTTATCCTTGTCCTGACATTCAGATCCCTCTGCTTTGCGTGCCGTCTATGCCAGAAACTGTCCTGACCCCTCCTAGATTTTCAACATTAATATACATATCGCCCCCCACGTCATCTTACGAATGAGCACCCTTGCGTGTGAATATGCCCACAAGGTGTTGCGCCGCGACTTCGGAAGTAGACATTGATCCGCAGTTGTGACACCACCTCGAAAAGAGAGGGCTAACGTCTAGAGAGATCAAAACACACCACAAACCCCCATAAAAAACCCTATCCCCACCCTCACCCACTCACCCGATCTCCTATCAATGGACGATCACAAAAAGCCCGACCCCGGTGGAACGGACGGCACCAAAAAGACTACTAGCTCAAACAACACACGACATGCCATCAACCAACGAGCGTTATACGATACACGATCAGGCACTCCTCACCAGCACCACCAGTTTAACTCACGGGGCAACAGCGCAAACTCGATTAGGGGCCAGTCCGAACCGGATCAACAAGATCCCTGGGACACCGCAGCGAAAAAGACCCGCGCGACCAAAACCAGATTCGACAATAGGTACACCAGCCCCCTCCCCAGCCCGACCACCTCGAGCAGCCATCTGGTGGTCGAAAGTATCCAGACTGGCAGACCAACAACCCCGGACTCGGACTCACCAGCAGACCGATGGGAAGTCGACACACCCCCACCGGCCGAACATCTTCACCTCGCACCCACACCCCAGACGCAACTTGGGATAGAGGACGATGACATAAGGTACGCCAATGAAAGCCCCGAAGCAGAGAAAGGAGACCAGACACATAGGACTGTCTACGACACGTTCGAGGCAATGCATGACCTAACTGACAGATTCAATGGCATTAGACTCGCAGGCTTGTGGGAGAACTTCCAGGACGAGTACATGCTATGGTATAGTAACCTACCAAGGCCGGCAACCCTGGATACCTTCCCCACCCCTTCACGCGACAGCGAACTGGAAGAACGACTGAAAACAGTCGAATCTAACATAAGCCGCCTGACTGAAGCTAATGCATATTTGACAGATAGGTTACTAACTACAGAGATACCCACCACGGCTGCCCTCCCCCGTAACTGCAACACACGCGACCCGAACATGATGGCGGCACCAATGGCAACCCCGCCCCTGACCAAAACCAACCGGGTCAAGACATCCTGGGCGAGCGTAGTGGCAAGCCCACCTCCGGCTGTGCCAACACACACAGCACGACCCGGTCCCCAGACGACAACCACAGACACGCAGGCACCCACCACAAACCCTCACGTCCTTATCATACGCATCAATCCACCAATCCCACCAGACCAACGACCAAACGGCCTAGCGACCCGCAAGAAAATCAACGACATGCTTGACGTGAAGAACCTTCCACACTACCTGAGAGTCATGGCAGTCGGATACTCCCTAGCAGGCAACATCAAAATTACGATGGCCCCCACTTGCTGTGCCGCGGACTTGGAAAAATATGGCAAAGAAATCGCAGCGACCATCACCGACAACGAAGTGCTGTCTGCCCTACCGGACATGGAGCACTTCCGGGTCAAGATAAACAAGATCCCCACGCATTGTGTCAGAGTCGGGATTATTGTCAGAGACTGAAATATTGTCGGAGTTGAAATATTGTCAGAGTTGGACATACTGTCCGAAGACAGATGGAAGATGGATTGGGTTTCTGTCTGAGTCGGGGTTGGAGGTTGTGGTGGAAGCCTGTTGGAGCACGCACATGCAGATATGCGGGTGGAAATATGCGGCGCATCCGGAAGCACTGTTCAAGGTTAGCAGAGTGGGATTGCGGCCTCAGCAACTCAGGTGGAGCCCTGTGCCCTGAGTGTGAGGTCTTTGGGGTTGCTCAGCACACAAAGCCGTAAGTGATACAAGATGATGTATTTTACGGTGGTGTGTAAGCGGTTCCCCGGAGGTTCCCGCTTGTCCACGTGACTATATCTATCTAGTTTACATGTGACTCGGGGTTCGGGGCTATTGCCCTGACATTCTCCCCCCTTGCATTGCATATGCGACGCATACAAAGTTGATAGTGAATAAAAACAGAATTTTAATAGTTGGTTTACATTGAGTTTGGAATTATCAATGAGTGTTTCTGTTGTCGCCACTTTAAAGTGGGCGATTTTGTACATGTTGGTGAAAGGAAGAGAAGGGGTTTGAATGAGTGTGGGCTGTTACTTTGAAGTGAACGGCGATACATTGGTATCGCAGGGAGAGAAGAAAGAAGTGGTGGAGTTTGTCGAAATTGGATTTCGACCCAAAGGTTGTATTTCTTTGGTGTTCCTCACTTGTTCTGTGAGGGTTCGTGTGTAAGTGGTGTTTACACACGAGCGGTGGTGGGTGTGGGTCTTTTGGCGGAGTGGAGATTTCCGCAATTGTTACTTGTGGTTCCTCGCATACAGTATTGTGTGCGGGGCCTCGAGTTGGGGGGGGTGTTTTCACGGGCGCCTCGATGGCGTATTACCGTGTCACTCTCCCTTCTCTCAAGGGTGGATTCATTGCCCCGGAGGAGGGTTTTCCTCCGGGTTGTTCATCTGGACATCCGATTGCTGCGTCGGATGCGATGACGTAGCCTGGGCTACATTGTCGGGCTGTGGGCTCGACGAAGTGGGTGCTCCCTGGGTGGGAGCGGGTTGTTGTGTTCCTGAGCTGCTTGGCTCAGGTCTAGAGTACGGTAGGTTTACCGTTCTTCCCGTGGGGAAGGATGGTCGTTGGGCTGGTTGTCCAGCTCGGAGACTTGCGTCTCTTTCCCGGTATTTGGAAGCTTTCGCTTCCCGCTCCGCCGTTCTTGCGGCACGTTCCTCAGGAGTCCTGAGTGGTTTGAACTGGGACTTTAAGTAGGCAGCTTTGCCTAGACTTTCCCAGGAGATTTTTCCCTTGTTCTCCGGGGAATTATATTCCTCCGCGAGTCTTGCGATGCTCGGGAGTCCCAAGAAGTATTTCTCGGTTTCCTTCGCTTTTTCGTGAAGGGTTCTGTGTACCTTGCCGCTTTTGAAGGCGGCTTCAGCCTGTTCGTACCAGTGTACGAATTCTTTCCCACTCACGCTTGTCCACCAAGCGTATGCGGCGTCATGCGCCGCTTCTGACCCCACTATTCTCCTCATGGGGAAGTTGGGGTCGATTGTTATGTCGACTGGAGCTTCGACTTTGCCGAACTCGTTGAGTTCGGCGGTCTCGTATAGCATGTGGACACTTCCCTGCAGGGTGGCTTGCCCATAGGGTGCTGAGGTACTCAGTGGCCCGCCGCCTCTGGCAGTGGTCCCCGTTTTAGGGTCTGCCGTCGGTTGCCTACCACTCTCCCTCTTCCCCTCGACATGGGTTTGCCCCTCTGAGGGCGGGCCTTTATGCAACCCGGACAGGGTCGCCTGCCCATGGGGTGGCGGGATAGTCGGTGCCCCACCCCTTGATGCGCTAGTCCCCATTTGGGGTCGCGCCTCATGAGGCCCGGAACCGTATCCCCTCCCCCTGACCTGGGAGGCCCCCGTCATGATGGGTTTGGCAGCGAGGTCTGCCAGTGCGCGTGCCTCTCTGAGCTCGCGTTTCAGTAATTCGATCTCCCTTTTTTGGAGATCGACTTCTCTCTCTGCGTCTTTCAGAGAGTCAAGGATGCCCTCAGCATCTCTTCGTGCTCTATTGTATTCGCGCCTCCAGTGGGCGCAATGGTCGCAGGCGTCTTCTGACGCCCTCGAGTTATTAGACCGTGCCCGCTTGGACGGTCTGGACGAGGAGCCGCTGTCGCTCCCTCGTCTCCCTCCTACGAGGGACTTCATTTCTTTCAGCTCCTCACGGAGTTGACCTGTCTGAGCAGCTACCGCTGACGCGATGGCTGATTCCCAGCCTGCATTTGGCTGGGGCGTTGTTGGACCTGGGCCGAATTGGCTAAACCAGGGGTTGATCTGGCCAGGGAAGTTCCCTGGGGAGTATGCCTGGGGCTGCAGCAGCAAATGCTGCCCCTGGAATGGCGCTTGTTGCGCCATCGGTGCAGTTTGCACCGCGTATGGTTGGAAGCCTCTTTGGGGAGGCTGGGGGTGTGCGATGCCTGTTGGCAACGCGGATGGTTGATGGTTCGCAGCACTCATTTGTGCTGCATGCGTCGTGTAATCCATGGTGCTTATCTGCGCCTGGTGTTGTTGTTGTTCCGGGGAGCCTTGCTCCCCGGGTTGTCGTATTTCGATATCCGGCGGTTTGTTTGGATCGAACCGAGGGTTGCCTCCCCCAGAGAACGACATCTCGTCGTTATGTTACTCGTGGCGGTGGGAGGGGTCTTCGTTCTTGTGTGCGTGGGATTCGCCGCGGTTGTGTGTTCTTTTGCACGTGAGCCTGTGGTTCACGTGGTCTAGGCGAGTTGCTTGCCTAGCCCATGTGATTTCTTGTACATGGTGTGGCTGTCCGGGCAAGTTACTCGCCCAGAACTTTCCCACGCTCTTGGCTGTGGGCCATCGTCCCTCGGCTTTACTTCTTCCGCCTCCGTTTTTGGGGGCGTAATAATGCCGAGAGTTCCCTGTCTTCTTTGATAGGGAGTTTTTCTGGTTCCCTTACATTTTGTAAGGTGAGGTACTCGTCCAGGTGGACGAGGTCGTCGCAATTTCCTAGGGGTTCCCATGTGGTGTCCCCTAGTTCCCATTTAACCTTAAACCAGAGTTCGTTGTGAACCCACGCGTGGTTTAGGATTTCGCAAACTACTGCTTCGCGATCAGGGTCTTCCCCGAAATCGTAGAATATGTTTACTTCCCTATTTGGGAAGGTTTCCTGGTCATTCGGCTCGTGAGGTGCTAGCCGGGATACATGGAATCTTGGGTGGATTCCGCGTTGTTCAAGTTGTGGTGGCAACTTGAGGACGTAGTTGGACGTTTCTGGAAATGTTTCCAGGATTTCATAAGGCCCTATGTATAGGGGCTTTAGTTTTCCTGCCCTGCCTTTGGGTAGGTTCAGCTTATCTGTGGATAAGTATGCGAGCTCGCCTTTTTTCAAAGGCGGGTCCGGGCGTCTTTTCTTATCGACTTCCACCAGAAGTGTCGACGG